TTAAAAAGTTACTTCTAAAAAATAAAGCCACTGAGAGGTTTGCTCCCTTCTGAAAAATAACCAGCAGTGTCTCTGAGCTGTATATTTGATTTTGAGGAGGAGCTACTTTCTCTTTTTCAAATCAGCTTAATTTTTCACATAAAAGACAAAACAGGCATGAGAGCATAGCAGAGGTAAGAGTGCGCGGGTACCGCAGCCCAGGTGAAACACATCCCTGTCTCCGTTCCTTTCCTGGTACGTGGCAAATTAAAAGGAGAAACTGCAGCTTCATCGCCAACCCTGCTTAAGGGATCACCAGCCAGGACAGACACCTCCTTACTCATCTCTCTCCTTTTATGAGTGAACTTACTCAGACACTGTTATGGCCACGCTTGGCCCAGAACGAGCGCTGTGCTTGCCGCTATCTTCCCTGTGTTGTCCCTCACAGCTTCCCCACAAGGACCATCACATTAAAAAAAACCCCCCTCCTGCTGGCACAGAGCCCAGCTGGAAACGGGGCTGAGGGCTGACAGCAATGGGAAGCATGGCTAATAGTGACACAGCCTTGGTTAAAAGTCTGTGAACATGAGGTTTTAACCAAATGCCATGTTTCCTTTCACTTCTCCTTAATAACCCCCATCCCCGGTTGAGGTTAGTAACACCGTACATTCCACAAGTTAGCAGCAAGTAGTTTCATGACCCTGATTAGTATTCACAGTAACATCAGGTTGCGGGCACGCGGCGTACAATCATCACAGGTAAGAGTACTAGTTACAATAGGCATGAGCGGATTAAGGACCACAGTAAGATGCTTTCCTACGCCCCCTTTTAAAAAAATACATCATTCCTAAACTACAAAACACTTACTAGTCGGTATTCGGCCGCCACGTGGCGGAGCCTGCAGAACGACTGAGCCCTGCGAAGGGCGGTACGGGTGTAACAGCAGACATTCTGAACGCAGCAGTCGGCGTAAAACAGATCACGTACGGGCTTCTATGCAGATGCATCTAGGGGCAGTGCGTCCTCCAGTCCTGTTTCATACTGCTGCCACTGTCGCAGGGACAGCGTCGAACAGTTACATTCTAGAATGACCGAAAAGCTGAATATTCAACTTAGATGTTCGTTGCGTCTAATGCACTAGACAACGTGGCACTGACACGGCCGAGCAGGGGTGTTCTCTGACCACTTGCTGGGCGTTGAACACACCCACCGGAGGCGACATTCTTCAGAAGAGAGCAAGAGCTGCTGTAAACAGTTTGACTCGAACAGTCTGCGGGTTTGTAGGGTGGTCGGGCAGCGCTGTTCATCGCGTTGTCCTGCCCGACCGCAGGAGTGGGGGACGCTGTAGAAAAACGTTCCACAAAGCTCTAGGTCCTGCTGTTCAAAACGCTGTGTTTATTGAGAAAGAAAAAGCTGAGACACCCCCCGAGGTTCGGCACCCCTGGAAGGGTGACTAAAATCCCTTTTTGGTGGCGTTCTAAGACTTGAAGACGTGCACGGCCCGCACGACGTACTGGCGGCAGATGGGGCACTCGCTCATCCTCTTGCCGCACTTGGTGCAGGTGACCATGTGGCCACACTCCAGCAGCACGCAGTCGATCACGGCGTCCATGCAGATCCGGCACAGGTTGTCGTCGTCGTCGTTCAGCTGCATCTTCTCACCCTCTGAAAACCAACAGAGAGGGAGGTCACGCACTCAGGCCCTGGAAAAACAGGGAAGTTCTAGCCCACACGACCACTACACAACACAGAGGGCTAAGGCTGCATGAAGTAGTGCTGCCTCCTGGTCACAATAGTTTTTCTGACCCACAGCTAAGAATTCATCTATATTCCTTAAAAAATAAAACACAAAGAAACAAGAACTGGAAAGCCCCTAATTGAACATCCAATATTTGGCTTCATTCTTTAAACTTGGAGACCGTTTCCAGTTCAGAACATGATGACTGTGAAATAACATGGCTGGATTAACACTCAGAGCGTGTTGGGTTTCCATCTCTGAGCTTACTTTGGTGGGCAGAGCACTTTCCTCAGAAGATCAAACACAACAATAGTAATAAAGCAGACTAAGAACTGGAAGCCTTAAGGAGGCCGTGAAGATGGCAGAACTGAACAAAATCTGTCAAGTTTCATTGCAAATAGACAACACACCCCCTATCGATAACTGAATTTTGATTAAAAAAAATAAATCATCAATTTAAAGCTTGCTTTCAGGCAGGTCTTCATTCCTAGTCTATGAGCAAACTGAGGGTCTCGCTGAAGCCGGGTTCTGACGTTCACTAACAGCCCCCCACTTTCACAATCCTCATCTGCCCCAATTAACTGATTCTTTCCCACCTGATTACCAGTCCCCACAGTGCCTGCGCTGGCTGCTGGCACAATCTGGCTGTGCAGTGGCCCAGGGCTATTAAGTTTTCCAGTCCCCACAGTCTCCTGTTCTTTGCAGCCTGCCTGCTGGATGCAGGAACAACGAGACAGGCGGGTGTTTTCCAGGCTGGCAATGACATGGAAAAGTTGTTCCTCACATCACACGTTGTGACCAGAATCAGTCTGTGGATGTACTACAGTCACACCAGTGAAAGACCCAACTGCTGAGTGTAACAGAGGGCAGAAGAATACTGGCTGCTGAGCTGCAGCCACAGAACCACCTTACCATGCACACACAGACCGAGACCAAACCACTTGAACTTGGGACTTTTGCCACTGTGGCTTTTAATTCTGTGCCACAGTACAGACCTGGACTGGCCTTGGTCTGTTGGCAGCTCCCGAGCAGCTCTCACTAATACCTTGTGAAACCTAATAACGGATGTGGAGGTGCCAAGTTTCATGTTCTCCGAGGAACTGGTTCTCAGTTGTGCAATTTTACCTTCGCCGTGAAAGCTGAGCTCTCCGAGCTTTGGAAAAAAGTCTCAAAAAAACAGCACAATCCTGGAAAGCTTCATTTACTCACTAGAACCACAGTCAACTACTCTAGATGCACCCTGAATTGTTAAAACCCACTGTCCAGTTGTTCTAGCTGAGCAGACCAAGTTAGATACCAAGTCCTCGTGGCAGAACCAGCTACTGGAAACCAGAAAACAAGTCATCTTAAGAAGTGAGAATTAAATATAAACCTACGTGTCTTCTGGTTTTCCTCACTCTCTCTGTACAGTCTGCTCACTTTTTCCACAAGTTCCCATTTTTCACAGCATCCCGAGTAGTTGACAAAATTACACGCGAGTATTTCCTTCAGCTGCCGAACACTCAACCCTTCGATGTCTTCCAGACTGGAAATATCGGACAAAGACGCCCTCGCTCGCTTTCTGGACAATCCAGGGGTCTGAAACACATCAATTGTAGGTTTGTAACTGTCCCGGTAAGTTCAGAGCACCAGATTCAGCAGCGCAGCGGAGGTTTTATTCTTTGCAAAGCAAGTATTACTGGACACAGCTAATTCTGAAAGAACTGGAGCGTGGTACTACATGTTGACAGAGATGTAAACACTTTATGGTGTCACATGCCAAAAAAATTATTCTTTGGATAGTTCATATCTCACCTGCTCTTCTGCACTTTCTTCTTCTTCGTTATTTATAGAAGATGTTTCGGTTTGTCCCTGCGTACAAAAGGAAACTAATCAGGATAAAAACACATTTATAAAGTATTTCCCTTTGTGCCCAACATTTTGAAGTTTCAATTGCTACTAATCATTATTGATTTAAGACACCTCTATCATCTGAACTAGCAATCTTTAGTTATCGTCTGTTTTCAGACGAGAGATACAACAGGCATTTTTCCTGCCACCCAGAGCCGTACCAACTGGCATTTCGTTACAAAGGGATGCATACCTATTAAAAAAAAAAAGCTATGCTATACCATAAACCACATGAATTATTGTACCCGTAAAAGTGCTCCATTTCCTGTGCTTCCCCTTCTGTTGGCAAGTTCTCCTTGAGACGACACTGATACAGACATAGAAAATGGATGAGTAAAAAACCCTGAAGTCTGTGAGCGTGACGAATGCAAGCGACTGGCGTCCATATCCTGCTCCGAGCCTAACCCGTGGTGGCACAGCACCAGATCCACCAAGTCTTCCTTCTCTCTGCAAGTATCCGTTGGTATGTTTCTGAGAATCAGATACTGACGCAGATCCTTCACTTTCAATCTCATTAACTGAGGTCGCTGAAAGGCTGTTTCTTGCAGCAAGTGACAAGTGGAACATCTTCTGAGGTTCTCTTGTAACACTGAGCAAACTGAGCAAAAATCCTTCTTACAGTCGCAACAGACGTGCTAAGGAGAAAGAGAAAATTCAGCTGTTTGTCACAGAAAACAGAGCCAGACCCTGCTCTTTCCTCTCCAGGCTACATCATCTACTATTAGTCTTTCCATCGTCAATTTTGACATGCGTCAGTTTTAGGATTTAAGTCTACAAAACCACCCTGTCAAAGAGTTTTGCAGTGTTCCACGGCAGGCTGTCACTTTTGAAGCACTGCTGTAAGCTGACCTGAGGTTTCGGTGGAAAAACATTATGAATACACAAATGAATAAAGTACTCGAGTTGTAGTTCAGGCAACAGAGGAAACTGAAAGCCAGGCAACTTTACAGCATGTTAAACCACTTTTGAATACACTACTGTCACTGCGCTTTTCACATGTGTAAAAACCAGTACGATCCCCAAACTTTAAAGAACACGCTTCTTCTACCTCAAGGGATTCAAAGAACTCAAAGCAGGCCTTAAACGTGGTGATCACGTGGTAGGTAAATACTCCAGCTGCCCAGATGTCACTTCTGGGGAGAGCTCTGTTCAAAAGACTCGCTACAATATATAAAAGCAATTTCAAATGGTCATCTCATCCACCGCGAACAAATCCAAACTCTTCCAGTTTCTCAGGAGTTTAGGAAATGAATATATTAGCTGCAGAAAACATCCCTACACAACCCTTAATTCAACCAAGTGTTCGTCACGCCAACAACAGGACACACAAGAAGGAGGAAACTGAACACACAAACTGAACAAAGAGGCTTCATGTTTATCTAAACGAGCTGCAGAGAATGAGGTCACTGAATGGACAACACACTGATGCCGGGCAGTCGTGATAATAATGTTAGAAATGGAAATAATCTTAATCTCACTTTTATTTGTCTGCATAAACCCGCCCGCCTGCCTCCAAATGAGGCAAGAGGCTGCTGGAGTGCACTAAACCTGGTCGGGAAACAGACGGAATTACACGAGTGTTGCACAGAAAGAAGCTCTGATACTGCATTGTGAGTTTTCAGTTTTTCCATCACCCAGTTTGTTCACTCCAGTACCAACCACTATGTTTGGCATCGTCTTCAAAACCAGATTTGTTTTAACGTTTAAGGTTCTGAACGAAACTCATTTTTAGGTCAGACCAGATCCAGTGTGTCAGTGATTAATGAACATCAGAGCTCTTCACTTCTAATCCTGTCTGACATTAATTTCCTGTCACCTCAGAATAAGGCACTTACTCCCTTCCTGGCTATCTGCCTTGGGTTTCCTTATGAAGGAAAAGTACACACTCATCTCCCAGTGTGCCTACAGAGTGGTTCATATGAGTAAAAATACATGTAATAGGAAATATACTCACTTTTTTCCTAAACACTGAAAAGGAAAGTCCACAGGCTTTGCAAACTATGTTCGCACCCGCTGCAGCCGGAGAGGGATATGCCGAGAAGTCTGGATTTGGTGCGAATCTGAATGGGCCAGCACCTCCCCCAAAGCCAGCCTGCTGGCCTCGCACAGCTCCAGTACCCATGACTTCATTCAGCAAGCCACAGCAGGAAGCCCACATGGAAGTAGCTCCCGCCTGAAAAAATCCACAAAGCAAAAAAAGAAAATTAATATCTGAAATTCCTCGTCAGATACGACTACTTCACTCCGTCATCACCCCAAAAGCACGCGGTGTGAATTCCCAGAGCTCCAGGAATTCAGCTCCCTAACGGCTATTACAGCCCGATCATCTCCACTTCCTAGCTGCAAACCAAAGTAGGGAAGATTTGCTTCTGAGAGGCTCACGCAGGCACAAGGAGCTGCTTTCACAACTCCTTTTCCAGCGGAGTTCCGCACAAAAAGGGAAAGGAATGAGGGGAGGGAACGAAACAGTGGAGCAAAGGAAGAGACTAAGCTGGTCGGCTGGTCATAGGTGAGGGGCAAAACCCGAAACGGTGACAGGCAGCAACACAATTTGTCATGATGAGTGCAGAGCTGTCCTCTGCAGGAGCTGCTCCACAACTAACCCAGCTCTTACATGACTCACACTAAAACTCTCCCTAGAAAACACTTCCGGGTCTTCAGACTTCAAAGTAACAAACCAATTTTTATTAGAAACTAGTTACGGTCTAGTTTCTCCAAGAGGGGAATGTTTTTCAAGACCTCCCTGAACCTGTTGTTTTGTTGTTTTACAAAAGGTCTAACAAAAATTAAAATAACTCTAAATGAACTTATTCTATATTGGTTGGATTTCGGTTTTGAGTCACATGGTTTAACCTTAAAGCACTACAAAAAAATTCTAAATACACAAATAAATTGCTACTTTTTCTCCTTGAAAGCCTTTGGCACTAGATTCTCTACCCAAAGTGCATATTCTACTTAAAGACGGAATTCGGACTCCCAAGTTGTTCAAGTCACACATTTAATCACTGTCATGTGGCTCACTGAAACTTACCGAAAAAAAAAAAAGGCAAACAGAATCACATCTGGTTCTTTCTGAAAGGAAGCTGAGTGGTACAACTTCCTTGAAACGTAATTTTTTTTCATACTTTTTTTCTTAGCTATGCTGGTTAGAGCTGTTCTGTTTTTCATTCCAAGGCAGCAGCTTTTTTTTCCCCCAAAGCATGAAGACACAAAATAATTGCTTTTGAGACTTGCAGTTCTGTCTGTAAAACCTAAACCAACCCGAACATGCACTTCAGCTCAGTAATGACGATGCTTTAAGTCCTGTAGTAACTAGACTCATTTCTGTATTAAATTGCATGTTTCTCTGAACCGAACACAGTCCTGTTACTTTTGTGGGAACGTAACACAGTAACTGGGGATACGCCAGAACATCTCCTTTCCAACCCTGTGCAGAAAAGGTAAGTGCAGAGCCCTCACTTCGGGGTAGAGAAGCTGTGAGAAACAATGCCACAGGAGCAAACATGTTCTACAACACGACGCCCATGGCTGTGCCTCAAGCATGGAACATCAAAAGCGTTTCTGCAACCCACACAAACCTGGTACTTCACTTTTACTGTTGTGAGCTGACATTAAAAGTGTTGCAATACAGGGAAATATCGAAGACAGCCGGTCCTTTTGCTTCTAAGCTACACAACACAACACTGTGCAGTAATAACATGAAACGTACACGCAACAAATTAAACTTACTAGTCTAATTTTACAAGTATTTCGAGAGTAAAATTCATCCCAGGCGTAACAAGGAACCTCCATGCTGTGGGCACCCCATGCATAAGGGAAAAATCTTCCTAAGCTCCCTGCGAACAGAGTTCCAGGGCGATGAACTCCAGTGGCCCTTCCCTGACCTCCAGCCAAGACACGGCAGCCCCAGCACGTGGCTGCACTCACGGGCACATTGTGGGCTCAGGGGCTGCCTGGTGTGCCATCACGCTTCTGTGACAACCCTTAAACCATCACCAAACTAAGGCTTGTTTTCTACATTTCAATCATCAGGAGTGGAAACAGATCAATATTAATTGTTCCTTTACAAAGCAAGTTATCTATAATTATCCGAGTTTATTAGGCAAGAGTAATTTACTTTTCAGAAATACATTCTGAAAACCAATGACTTAATCCAAGAGAGCTCCAAGTTTTAAAACTTGGGGCTTTCAAAAAGTATTTTTTTCTCGTCTTAAGGAAAAGTTGTCAGTTGCAGAAACATTAATTCTTCACGTGTTCTTAAAAACTGACGAGCTAGCTTTGTATTTAAAAGATTTAAGAAATGCCGCATACAAATTACAGGAAAAATAAAACAATGAAGCAAAAAGGTCTGTCAGAATTCTACTTGCTCATTACACAACTACGGTCTTTTCAGGGGGTCACAGCAGCAGGTCCCTTCCAACCCTAAGCATTCCACAATTCCATGACTCTGTGACACACAACCACTGAAAGGACACAACACAGTGGCCACCAAAACCCTTGCCTCATTGCTTAACACCTGCTTCTCAGACTTATTTTATTCCAGAGCCTGTAACAGCAACTCAGACATCACCGTCAACACTAAATAAATATATACTTAAGAAATTTTTGTTACCCATTTTTGATACGTTAATGTCATTAGTATCAAACAAAGTCTCTTTCCACTTACTGCCAAGCATTCAGTCATTTGAAGGTGAAAGGTAAGGCAACGTGGGCATCATTAATTTTCTCCTTAAGTCAGCTGCAGATTCTTTCTATGCCCTAGGTCATTAACTGGTAATCGAATTACAGCGTCTAGACCCTTCGAATTACACTGTAAAAGAAACGAGACCGTGCTGAAAAGCACCAACACAAGACACAATGAGGCACGCTAAAACAAGAACTTCTTCCCTTGAGAACTGATAGAAATTTTGACAATTTCTGCACCAAAAGCCTTTCCAAATACATCAGTCACCACTTCCATATTCTCTTCTCACTAGCTGCCTCCAGCTATCTTCTCTCTCTGTACCTTACGTGCATCCTATAGGGGCAAAATATTGCGTTAGAACTTGCTTGCTCCTGGTTTTGGCTTTAAGGGTGATGAGAATTTCCCCTCCGAAAAGACCCCCGCCCCGAGAAGCGGGGAGGCTGCAAGCTGCCCCTTGCACCTGTGCAAGCAGGACGTGCTATCAAAGCCGGCAGACCAAAAGCAGAGCAGATTTTACTCTTTTTTAGCCGAAATTTCGCCTTTACCCCCGCTCTGAGATCAAGCGAAGCTTTTCCAGCGATCGAGCGCCCTTCGGA